GTTCCTCTGTGGTTTAGTCCACTTTTGTAAAGCCTATGCTTGAGCCCTTGCTCATATAATGTGTATGTTCTCATTAATTTTATGAATAAAATCGTTATCGTTTCTGGAAAAAAAAAATACATGGGCCCAAGTTATCCTATAGATCAAACTGATGCCGAGTTTTAACCGCGGTCTATGCAATTAAGACCTTGAAATTAGGAACTAAGGCATGCCTGTCAATTTGTTGTTTGGATTTGGAAAATATGAATCGTCAACATTGCTAAATTTTGTATTTCAGTCGGAATTGCACCATCAAAATTGCAGTTTTTATGAGTTTGATTTGACTTGTAATGGAAAACTAGAGTAACATATAATGATAATATTTTTGAACTTTCCAAATGCATTAGTTGGAAATGATTGTGTTCCTTTTAATCCTATAGGGAAATTTGACATACCAGTTAATTTGTTGTTGCTAAAATCTAAACCCGTCAACATAGTTAGATTCCATATCTCATTTGGAGTTGCACCTGCAAAATCGCAACTATTATGAGTTTGATATGATTGGTAATGGAAGGATACAATGACAATTAATTAGAATATTGAACTTTCCAAACGCATTAATTGGAAATAATGCCTAATGGGTAGATAAAGTTATCATAATTTATAAATTTTAGCATTTAAGAAGTGATGTCTTTGGTTTTGAAAAACTTTTGGCAAGGAAAGAGTTTTGCAAATGACAAAAAAAAAACTGGGAAATTAGTCTGACAAAGTTGGGATACTCCTTGTGTTGAAAAAAAAGACAAAAAAGACCATTTCAAATAAATCAACAAAATTGGGGCGGAAGTTTAATTGTGTGTGCTTCAACTACATCTATTTTATTTTTCCTTTTTTTTCTTTAGTTGTCATTTTATTTTATTTTTGGCAACAAAAGTTTAAAATCTAATAATTCATTTTCATAAAACTAAGAACAAAAGTAGGGGTGAGCAAACGGTACAAATTCGGTAATTCAGTTAGTTGAATTCGGTTATTTGATTTATAGAAATCTAAACCGCTTTCAATTTCGAATTGGTTATAACCGAATTCATTCGCAACCGATTTCGAATTCGGAAATGGTAATGAATTCGGTTAACCGAATTCATTTATAAAAAAAAAACTGATTTTTTAAAAATTATTACTGATTTGATCCCCAAATTTATTCATAATTTAACATATTACTTATGTTCTAATCATTTTTGTCGTTTAATTTAATTGGCATCTATTTGATCACTTATACCTAGAATCCTTAGTCTATGATTTAAGGAACACATAAAAAGTGATTAGTTGAAACTAGAATAAACCTTAGACTATACAATGATTAGTGATAATTTATGAATTTATAATTTACAATGATTAATAATAAGTAATATTAGTTACAAACTTATAATTTATTTCAAATCAAAATAAAACTTATTTACTTACATATGTTATTGTGAAAGTCAATACACTAATACATTGATTTGCAATTTATATGCATTTATTTACATTGCTTAGTTGTCTTGTCTATACTTAAAGCCTTAAGATTAGTGAATAGAGAATATGAATTTTTATGTTAAATATGTAATGTAAATTTAGAGCACATTAATACTTGTAAGTTACAGGTTACGCATTCAAATATTCAATAATTCAAACATAAATGATGTATCAAATTACCAATATCTAAATTCTAATTACTAATTATGTTTATTGTTTAATATTTAGTATTATACATATATGTATTAATTATTATCTAATTCTAGTCATGTTACTAATGTATAAAATAATAAGTACTATAGTTATGTTATATTGTTATGTATTACTATATATTTGTATTATTATAGTCATTTAACAATTAACAAATACTAAAATAATATATTGTACATTATTATATATTATTATTATTATTATAAGTACATGATTATACCATTTACTAACTATTATTAATAACATTTACCTATATAATATAATAATATATTAGTAGTATATACTAATACTAAATAGCATTTATCCATATATTATATAATTTTATAAACTAATTTCGTATTCGAATGCGGTAATGCGGTAGCCTATTTCATTTTACCGAATTTGAATATGAAATCGGTTATTACCAAATTCATAATTTCATTACCTATTTCATACCATATTAAAATTCGGTGAATTCGGTATGTACCGAATTTGTACCAAATTACCAAATACCCGATTTCAAATTACCAAATTAAATTTGATTTCGATTTTGAATTCGGTCTATACCGAATTTGCTCACCCCTGAACAAAAGTGTGGCCAACTTTATGCTATTATTTTTCTTTATTTCTTTTTGTCTAAAAGATGCATAATACTTTCAAAGTCCCTAAAGTAACTTAATTTTACTACAAAGAGATAGTAGGTTTCCAAATTCTAAATCAAACCAAAACAAGGCCATCTTAGCTTATTATGAGAGAGAGAGAGAGAGAGAGAGAGAGAGAGACTATTATGAATTTGGAACTTTTTATCCACATAAAATGACAAATTGAAAGGAAAAATATAATTTACTATTTTAGAAGAAAACATAGAATAATAAATTTTTAAGACCTGTGGAAAAAAGAAAATACAAAAATGATAAATTCAGAAAACATTAACGAAACAAGCATATCAGATATGATATTCCAATTCCCTTAATTAAACCAATTGTATTTGCTTAGTTTACCAGGTTTTCTTTTTCTTTTATTTGATAAATAAACACACTTCTCGTGACTTTTGACAGTACTAGTCAAAACTAAATTAATGATTTGGGTGTGAAAACTTGTCAAAAACTAAAATGGTTCAAACTTCCAATACAAGAGCATCGTCATCTAAAATGATAATTTCTTTCTTAGGAGTAAATTTGTTTCCTCAAGACCTACGGACTTTTTTAGGGTAAAAAACAAAAAAGTACCCTGTATAAATCTAATATACAGAAAAACCCCCCGTGATTTCAAAATATATAACACGACACCCCGTACTTTGAACTAAATTGTAAAGGTGACGGAATACTTTAAATTTAACGGAAATGGATGAAATGACCAGAATGCCCTGATATAATTAAGCAAAAGACAGCTCAAAAAAATCATTTGTTGTTATAAAACTAATGAAATAACAAGATGTGGGGTAAAATAAAATAAGGAGAAGCCGATAAAAGTAGAGAACTATATTTCTTCTATATCCTTTCAAACGATCAAGAATGCACCTCTATTTATAGATACACTGAGAGGTTACAAATTAATTGTATAGGGAGATCAAACCGTCATCCATATTCTTTTATCTTTGGACGGATTCAATAGAAATAAATAAGCTTAATAAACATAGGAGAGTTTAATGGACATTCACTCCCATTTAATTGTTTCATAACACTCCCCCTTGGATGTTCATTACACAAAGAATATGCCTCGTTAAAACCTTACTAGGGAAAAATCCAGTGGGACCAAAAATCCTAGTGAAGGAAAAAGAGTACACTATTCTTGTGTAATAATTTCTCCCCCTGATGCAAATATTATTTGATATCTTTTAGCCGATGCATTCCAATATTCTTCACCAGTTTCTCAAATGTAGCAATCGGCAATGCCTTGGTAAACAAATCTATCAAATTATTATCTGATCGGATTTGTAACACATCAATCTCACCATTTTTCTGTAAATCATGAGTAAAGAAAATTTTTGGTGAAATGTGTTTCGTCCTATCTCCTTTAATATATCCTCCTTTTAATTGAGCTATACAAGCTGCATTATCTTCATATAAAATTGTTGGAGGATTTTCCTTCTCGGAGGATAACCTACAACTCTTCCGGATGTAGTGGGTAATTGATCTTAACCAAACGCATTCTCGACTGGCCTCATGAATTGCTATTATTTCAGCATGATTTGATGAAGTGGCAGTTAATGATTGTTTTGTAGAACGCCAAGAAATGGCTGTACCGCCACAAGTAAAGAGATAGCCAGTCTGAGATCGTGCTTTATGTGGGTCAGATAAATACCTAGTATTAGCATAACCAAGCAATTCAGGTTTGGATTTATTTGAATAAAACAAACCAAGATCAATTGTTCCTTGGAGATAGCGAAAAATATGTTTAATACCATTTCAATGTCGTCTTGTAGGCGAGGAACTAAATCTTGCTAATAAATTCACTGCAAATGATATATCAGGTCTTGTACAATTAGCAAGATACATTAGTGCACCAATTGCACTGAGATATGGCACTTCAGGACCAAGTATCTCTTCATCTTTCTCTCGTGGTCTAAAAGGATCCTTATTAGGATCTAGTGATCTGACGACCATTGGGGTACTTAATGTATGTACTTTATCCATATAAAATCGCTTCAATACCTTCTGGGTATAAGCAATTTGATGGACAAAAATTCCACCTTCTAAATGCTCAATTTGCAAACCAAGGCAGAATTTTGTCTTTCCAAAATCTTTGATCTCAAATTCTTTCTTCAAATATTCGATAGCCTTTTGGATCTCTTCAGAAGTTCCAATCAAATTTAGGTCATCAACATATATAGCAATTATCACAAAATTTGACCTATTTCTCTTGATAAAAATACATGGACATATTGGGTCATTGATATAATCTTCTTTAGTTAAACATTCATTGAGGTGGTTATACCACATACGTCCAGATTGTTTGAACCCATACAAAGACCTTTGTAATTTAATAGAAAACACATCTCTAGGATTTGATTTACATGCTTCAGGCATGTTGAATCCTTCAGGGATTCTCATGTAAATATCATTTTTAAGATTTCCATACAAATAAGCAGTGACAACGTCCATTAGATGCATTTCTAGTTTTTCATGCGTTGCAAAACTCACAAGATATCTAAATGTGATTGCATCCACTACAGGTGAATACGTTTCATCATAATTAAATCCAGGTCTTTGTGAAAAACCTTGGGCTACAAGTCTTGCTTTATATCTCACAATTTCATTCTTTTCATTCATTTTTCTCACAAATACCCATTTATATCCGACTGGCTTTACACCTTCAGGTGTTTAAACTACAGGTCCAAAAACTTGCCTTTTAGCCAGTGAATCTAATTCAGATTGTATAGCATCTTTCCATTTTGACCAATCATTTCTACGTCGACATTCATCAACTGATGTAGGCTCATGATCCTCGTCCTCTACCATAATATTAAGTGCTACATTATATGCAAAAGTACCATCAACAATTATTTCTCTTCGGTTCCAACTTTTTCTTGTAGTGACAAAGTTTATTGAATTTTCTATAATTCATTCTCTTCAGGAGTTGGTTCTTTGGGAGCAACATCTTCAGGAGGTTGAATTTTGTCACTAATTATGGATTCATTTGATCCTCTTTTCTTTCTAGGATTTTTATCTTTGGAACCAAGAGGTCTCCCACGCTTCAGGCGTGCTTTAGATTCATTAGCACTTGTGATTTGTCTTTCAGGGACATTTATTTTAATCGGAGCATTTTCAGTAGGAATATGTGATCTTGTGACTCTTCTGGAGTCACTAAATGCATCCGGCAATTGATTTGCAATATTTTTCAAATGTATGATCCTTTGAACTTCTAGTTCACATTCTTTTGTACGAGAATCCAAGAAATCCAATGAAATTTTCCAAATGATTTCCTTTTTCGGGATTTTCTTTTTCGGTTGATCTTTTCCTCCCCCTAATGTCGGAAAATGTGATTCATGAAAATGACAATCTACAAATCTTGCAGTAAATAAATCACCTGTCAATGGCTCAATATACTTAACTATATTCCCAAGATGTGGGGTAAAATAAAATAGGGAGAAGCCGATAAAAGTAGAGAACTATATTTCTTCTATATCCTTTCAAACAATCAAGAATGCACCTCTATTTATAGATACACTGAGGGGTTACAAATTAATTGTATCGGGAGATCAAACCATCATCCATATTCTTTTATCTTTGGACGGATTCAATAGAAATAAATAAGCTTAATAAACATAGGAGAGTTTAATGGACATTCACTCCCATTTAATTGTTTCATAACATTTGTTTTATTTTCTAAACAGAGAGAATTGAGGGTTAAGGGGTAAAATAGGTATATTTGTTAAAAATTAGGTATAAATTTTTTTTTTAGGTTCCAATAAATTATTTCCGTTAAGTTTAACGGATTCCGTCACCTTTACAATTTAGTTCAAAGTACGGAGTGTCGTGTTGTATATTTTGAAACTATGGGAGACTTTTCTGTATATTAGATTTACCACAGGGGTTTTTTTTGTAGTGTACCCACTTTTTTATAATAGCCATTTCTACTCTCATTATTGGATAGAAAACTAAAGGTTGTGTAACTACCTAAGAAGTAAATTCAAACTTATCCCTTCATTAGTTCATACTAATAGCTTGCAATAAATCAATACTATCACTTTACTAATTATTTCTAGGTCTAATTGCACAAGAGCTGTCTAGATACATGAAATTCTACACATTTCCTTTTATTTTGGTTCCTCGGTCATCAATTCCTACTCTTAGTATTCAACACAATTAATTGCTACTAACTCAATGAAATCTCATAAAGAAATCATTACCATTAACACACTTAAAATGTATTTCGTAACTTATCAAAAATGAGAGTTTTATAACCACAACATAATAAATTCAAACTTATCTCGTTCTTAATAATTGCATCTTTATCACTTTAGTTAACTCATACTTATCATTCCTTATATTTATTTCTTCTCAATAAACTTATTCAATAATATTCTTTAAAGTTTCCAACGGCGCACACCTTTATCGAATTATATCATAAATTTGCAATTAACAAAATTTTCCCAAATAAAATTATGGCTAATTTCAAACTAATATATCTAATTTCTGGAACCAAAAATTGCGGGGTGTCACAGAGAGAGATGGTGATTTTTTGTTTTGAGAAATTTGGGTTGGTAAGGGTATTTTATGGCCTAAAATTTAGATTATTTGTGTCTAAATTTGACCATTCTTGCTCATGAACTTCTCAGACTAAAGATTCACTTCACTAGGAAACAGACGGACATGAAAGAGAGAAATTGTTGGCAATGGAAAACTTGGTTGAATAAAGAAGGGCAAATTACATTTTACCCCCTTATGATTTAGTATTTTTGTACATAACCCCCTATGGTTTCAAAAGTTATACATAACTCCCTGATGATTTGGATTAAAATGTCAAAATGATGGAAATGATGATTCGTAACGGAACCTTTAAAAATATCGAAATTACCCTTATTTAAAAATTAAAATGGCTATAGTGACCAGAATATATAAATGTAATATACATGATGCACTAACCTCGTCTGATCTTATGTTTTATCATATAACTTCTTTATGATTTAATGTTTTACCATATAATTCTCTTATAATTTTCAAAATATACACATTAATTCCCCTGTAGTTAATAAATAATTTTCAACTATATATAGGGACATTTTTGATATTTTAGGTAACTCCATTAGCAAATTCCATTACTTTGACAGTTTAATTTAAATAATGAGTGGGTTATGTATAGATTTTAAAACTATAGGGGGGTAATGTAAAAAAATAAACCACGGGGGGTAAAGTGTAATTTGCCCAATAAAGAAAGAGAAGAATGGTGAGACTTCGGGGTAATGGAAAACTTGTTTGAATAAAGAAAGAGAAGAATGGTGGGGCTTCGGGGTATTATCGGACTTTTAATAAAAAATAATGTTGACATCAATAGAGAGAATATAACAGATGGGTTAGGCCATTAGGGGTGTTTCTGTTATAAATATGTTTGGATGTAGGACCTTTGGTAATATTGACAAACCTCAGGATCTAATCTGTAATTTGGTCAAACCGAAGGGAAGTTGTAATCAACCAAAGAATATATGCAGACTCATACATGAACGTGACTACGAGAGTGTCTATATATGTGGGTGTATGTATGTATATATATTGCAAAATCCGATTACATGATTTGCATGTTTAAGGTTGCAATTTTGATTTGCATACTTGTTAAAGCATGATCCACAGCGAACAGAAGCATAAGTTCAATATATACTTACAAACCATATACAAGAACACAAGTATAAGCAAGAGCACAAGTATAAGCTTAATATATATTAATAAAATAGGAATAGAAACAGGGCACTATACATTTTACCTGTTAAATTGTTGGACTCCAGGGCTAGTGTCTCGAGCATTGTCAAGTTCCCAATTGCCTTAGGTATGGGTCCCCATAAATAGTTCAGAGGCAAGGCAAGCGTCTGGAGCATGGAACACTGAGACAATGTTGAAGGTATTTGGCCAATCAAATTATTGCCTCCCAGACCAAGATATGTAAGTTTATGAAGTGCGTGACAGATGGTGTCTGGAAGAATGCCAGATAGGCTGTTTTGGAATAGAGAAATGATTTGCAATGAGGAAATATTGAAAGTGTGGAGAGGCAAAGGACCCGAAAGCTGATTCCTATCAATAATCAAAATTTTCAAACTATGAAGATTCTGAAATTCTATTGGAATGGTCCCCTCAATGGAATTGTCTGTCAGCCATAGACTCTCCAATTTTGACATGTTAGAGATGGAAGGCGGGAGAGAACCCGAAAAGCTATTATTGCTTAGAGTCAGCTGTTGGAGTTTGTGTAAATAACCAAACCAGGAGGGAAGCTCTCCACCAAGATTGTTGATCCCAAGATAGAGGTATCTTAATCTCCGCAGGTGAGCTAACTCACGAGGCAGTTCTCCATGGAAATTGTTGCTGCTGAGGTCAAGGGAAACTAGAAAAGATAGATTCCCAAGTTGAGGAGGCAAGTCGCCAGTAAGTTTCATGTTTGAGATATTTAAGGCAGTCACCCGACGGTGTCGAGGGCCGCAGGTGACACCCATCCAATCACAGGCGGAGGAGGTGACTGACCAGTTTTTTGCCAAGATTTCTTGAGGTTCTGATGAAGTGATCATGCGATCTCTAAGCGCAAGAAGCGCTGATTGATCCGTAGTAATATTACTGTTGCTGGCAGCCCCCACTGCTAGGAAAACCATGCTAAATTTTAGCAAGAAAAAGTAGTGAATTTTGCCCATGGCCATGCCCATTGATCAAGTTCAGATTAAAAAACACAAAAACAAATGAAAAACTGTAACTCACATGAAATGGTGTCAACTGCAAAATCATATATAGGGGAGGCGAGCAAGGAAGCATCTTAACGCACTAACACACATGGAGGTGGGGCCAGCAATTAGTGTCGTCGTCTCTTCTCTGTAGCTATGATGACATCAATATAGCAGGAAAAACATCCCCAGTCAAATATAAATGTTGGATTTTCCTACTGAATAACTATCAAATAATGCCCCAAGTTAGACTCAGGAAACCCCTTGAATGTTTGAAAGTTTCCAAAAAATTTTTTTCTTTTGAGATAAAGTGCTTGCCCCAGTACAAAATTTACAAGTTCATTTTATTGTACCATCTAGTTGATATGAAATCAAATTTGCCCTCCCAATCAATGTAAGATGTTCTGCCTCGGGCCTATGCATCAAATCAAGATAGAGGCTTCTACGACCAACTTGCATAGATGTTGATAATTTTTGTACAAAACATAGGTATCCACATCTGTTAATAGTTTGCAACTAATTCTGTTCGAACCAGATTGGGCCCCTTACGATAAAAAACTCTTCTAATGTTGTTATTTACATTCTCATCAATTTCAAATCTAAGACCTCATGATTAAGGAATACAAACCTTTTCTACTTGCATCAACATTCATTGGTAGATGTTCATAATTCCACAGGGCCATTTACTAGCAAAACGGGCAAATTAGAATTAAGGAGTAACACCACTTTACCCCTCCAAACTAATATCAAATTTATACTTTACACCCAAAAATTTAATTTTGAACTTTAATTAGCTCAACTTTTGACACTCTGCAACCTAAACTCTCAAATTAGTCTCAATTAAGTTCAATGAACAACGGCATTACTAAAATTAACCGAACAGAGTATCAAACAAATCAATGACAATATCCTAAATGTGGTCAAAAGGTGCAAAGGAATCAAATGAAGAACAAAATGATACATATCATTATTTTGAATTGTCTTTTATCTCATTAACATTACTAACAATATTAGTTATTGAATGGGACAAACTTTTGACCAGTTTGTTCTAGTTGCAATCCTTTTCTCCTTTTAACAATTTTAAGTACATTGTCATTGATTTTTACAATCCTCTATTATGGTAATTTTGCTAATGTTATTATTGATTGGACTTAAATAGGATAACTTTGAGAATTTAGAGTGCAAAGTATCTAAAATTGAGAGTTTAGAACACAAAATATCCAAAATTAAAGTTTATAATGTAAAGAAAAGTGGCACAAGTTGGAGGGTGCAAAGAAGTTGAGTTAACCCTTAGAATTCAATACGGCTTTTAAATAATTTATCGGTTCCTTGGTTAGATGACTATGAATTCAGGTGGTTCGAATGGAATGACTAAGCGAATGCGTACACGATTTGGCTGCTTATGTGGTCTCTTACCGGCAGAATAGTCTTCGGAGACTACGCTGAAGCAACAACTTCAACATTGGACTGCGAAATAGATGCAGCTCAAAAAGTTACCTCCAGTTGCTGAAGTCTCCTCTAAAAGTGAGATTTACATCTCTACTCTTTCAATTTATTGAATCATTCAATTTTGTATATTGGTGACATTGCTCTTAGCTTTTTTGAATTTCAAGTCGGTTGCAAGCTCAGAAAATATACAATTTTGTGCAAGAAATCTAAAATAATTTTTTGGGGAATTAATCTGTTATTCAAGAACTATAGAAGAAAGATATCAATTGAAAATAATTACAGAACACTTAGAGGGCGTACAGATGATATGGTTGCTCAAATTGTGAAAAAAGTGAACCATATTGGATAGAAACTAGTCCACCATGTATCATGAAAGAACAAATTTTTGCAAGCTGTATTTTTTTGGTCATCTACTATTTGAAAATCTCTGAACTGTTATTTTAACCTCTATAGCATTTTTATCGGACATATACATTTTCCAATAAAGTGTCAGAATAGTACCTTTTTGGTATTCTCTCTGCAAAATTGCAATTTAAAACATAAATATGACTATTACATATACCTATCCTGGATATAGGATTTTCTCATTAATTTGGATTTTGTCATTGCTTCTTTGAAGATTTCAAGCATATTTTCAGGGCTTTCATGTCTAGTCGCCATTACTTTAAAGTTTCACTCCACTCTTAAAGTCATATGCTGATTGCTATTAGTCATTTAAAAGAGAAAAGAAAAAGAAAGAAATTGCTATAAACCATAGCCCGATAGAAATTGGATTTTGTATTGTCGCACAAGGGACCTCAATGCTTTGTATCATGCCTTCGTGTCATATATCATGCACGATATGGAATCTACTCCTACAAACAATTTTTTAGGGTAAATTACTTATTACCCCCTGTGCTTTTATAGAATGCCAGATGACCCCCCTAAGGTTTTAAAATAAGCACATAATCCCCTGTAATCTTATGTAAAGTGAAAAATGGATAGACTGCACAGTCAGTTACAGTATTTATACCAAACGCATTTTTAAAGCGCGTGTGATAAAATTTTTATATCCATGTAACCCCCTTATGATTTGTATAAATATCCGCTTTACCGTCTGTGATTTTTGCATTTATTCATGTAATCTCCCTATACTGTAATATAAGACGGTTAAGCCATCGATTAATTTAGCATTTAAATAAGGACACTATTGGTATTTCAACTAACGTTACATGGGTATTTTTCATCAAATTTTCACTTTACATAAAACCATAGGGAGTGAAGTGGGCATTTTGAAACGTTAGGAGGGTCATGTGGCAATAAATGAAATCATCGGGGGAGGGGGTGGGGCAAGGGGTGTTACATGTAATTTACTTTTTTTTTTAAACAAAACATCATAATTTCATTAAAATCTGAACTAATTATAGAAGTTACATCATTAAACATACACAGATATTAAAGAACAGATTTGAAGAATGGATACTATAGATTTGAAAAATAGATAAAAATTACACTACAAAACTCAAAAAAATATTATAAAAGATAAGATAAAATAATTGCAATCCACGAATATCTGGTGTACTGCCAATCACCAGATTTGCTGATTAAGTGATTCAAGTTCAAATATTATGGTAAGATCTGCCAAATAGACCTAAAATATTTGAGATCTGATAATGAAAACCTGAAAAAAATTCAAATCTAATAAAAAAAAAACAAAACAAACTACCTAAAACTCTCGCTAGTCCCTAGGAGAAAAGAAGAGTCTCACTAGAAAAATTTGAGAGAAGAAAACTCTCATTAGGTAACCCTAGGAGAGAAAAAACTCTCATTAATAAATCCTAAGAGAGATTTTATTCACTCAAATGAAAGAAACTAGAGAGAGGGTTCCTCCCATGGAGAAAGATCATAAATATCTGCCCTCTCTCTCATAGGAGAATTGGAGAAAGTTTTAGCTAGAGAGATCTTCTAGAAAGGAAAATGAGAGAATTAGTTTTAGTCCTATGACAAATTAATGAAACAAAATAAGGCAACCTAATCTTTAAAGAAGCACAAAAAACACTTTCAATCTCAATTTGGTCAACATGTTTATTCTACCTCTCGAAATTTGAGAAATAATTAATCATGGAGCCAGGATGTTTTATCCAATATTTTAGGTTTTTCCCTTCTTTTTCATAGAAATGGTTGTAAGGAAATAATAATAAGTACATTATTTAGAAAATCCGTGTGAAGACAAATTGCATACAATCGACATAGTTTTTCCATCATGAATTCATATGGTAATTGCTCCACGTCAAAAGAATAAAGGTATGTGTTATGCAAAAAAAAAATTTTTTTGAATAAAAGCCTGTATTTTTTCTTTGGTGAAGTTGAACAAAATTTATTCAAAGTTAAGAGAATGGATACTGAAAGTTCAATTGGGTCCCAAATAAATATTTGCCATTATTTGGCTCCAAATTATTTAGTTGCATTACAAACACAATTTTCAACATATTCTTTTATCTTCTCAATCACCTTTTTATCTCACATACATCATATCATTAAAAAAAATGCTATAATGATTATTTCAAATAATTTCCTATCCAAACACAAAAGGGTAGGGGATGGGACTGTGACGCCCGCCTTTTCTACAGTTTCTTTATTAGAAAAATTCCCCAAAAAAAGTTTATGAGCAAAAATAGTTTTAAAATGATTTTTCTAGTATCGGTTAGTTTTTGAGAAATTAAGAGCGTATTTTGAACGTGGGACCCGCAAGTGCGGTAAACGCAATATATTTTTGACAACTTCTTGGAATTTTGTATTTAGTGATATTATTTTACAAGGTGTTAAGATATTTGTATTGGAGAGACAAAAAGATAAGTTTTGAACCAAAAGGTGACAAGTGTCACCATAAGATTAAGTCTTGGACTTTGACCATTTGACTTTACCTTTACCTTTACCAAATAAATATCAAAAAAATTGCCAAAAATCATCCTTATTTCTAAAGCTTCATAGCCGGCTCTCTCTCAAAGGAAAAGAAAGAAAAGCTCTCAATTTCTTCCTTCTATTTCTTGCTCAATCTTCAAATCCAACCAATAAAACTCCAAATCATTCCATAAAATCTCTTTGCTAAGTGGTCTTGAGGTGTTTTGTGGAGTTGTTTGGAAAGCTAAGGTGATTTGTTGCTCTATCTCTTGTATGGCTAAGGTGAGTTGTGAAGAACCACTCTCCTCCCTTAATTGATGTTCAATTCATGATTGGTGGTGGTATAAGATGCACTTTTATGGATTATATCTTGATTTTGGTTGAATTGGTGAAGTTTTATAATTATTGGGGATTTTTCTGTTTTCATATGAATATGATTATGGGGTCATGTATGATGATTGGAAATGATGTTTAATGACTCTAGGAGGTGGAAAAAGTGATTAATTGCAACCAATTTCTGTTTTGGACCAAAAATTGAAAAGTGAGGGTTTTGTGATGAACATTCTGTCCGAATTTTTAGGTCATAGATAGAGGCCGAATTGGCCTTGGCTCAAAACATGAAAGTTGTAGGTATTGATGTTTTAAGGGTG